TACAGGATATAAAAGTTTAATTTTTATTTAGTTTCCAAAAAAAGGTCTTTTGGTAAAAAATTCTACAGGCAACCCCCCTCTTAAGATATTTGGAATAGAAATAATCAATACACGTTATTGACAAAACCAAACAATATATTCAACATGTTTATTTTTTGTTAATGATAACATGTATTGATTCTCTCGATTCGAAATACGTTTTTTCGAATAGATAACTAGATAAAATCGTTATATATGTTTATGAGCATCTGAAATGGAATTGTAAGGATACCGTTAGGGTGTCCATTTTTTTATAACGAGAAAATAATGATAAACATCAATCCTGTGAGAAAAAGATAGGCGAGATTGGCGCGGTTCGCGTTGAAGAAACGAAGATAAAAGATGCTGGGATTGAATTGTGGACAGGCCGGGGCATATATTCGGCGACAAGCACAATCTACTGCTAGTGCCAGTGGTGTGTGTACAAATAATAATTTGCCATTTATTTTACGAATTTTAGTTAATATGTGTACAGTTATTTTATGTTGTATTGTTGTGGTTACTTGTTATAGTTTTTTATGTTGTAGTGTTGTGGTTACTTGTTGTAATTATAATATAATATAATATAATAAAGAATTATAATTATATAATAGAATAGTAAATATATATTACTAGTTGCTAACGCAATTTTAGGACATGATTTATAAAGCTTTTTGGAGTGAAACTCCTTTACGCGCGCTGGGAGTAAACATTCAAGGCCGTAACATACGAGCTAGCGAGACGGCCCTGACACACGAGCTAGTCGTAACGAAACGTGTTAACGGCTTAGAAATACGTAGTGACGCGACGTGTATTTGTGAGCAATCCACGTGTTTATCAAAAATATTGATATTTTAATACAAATTTTTTAAAAGTGACTCAAATTATTACGTGTAAAAAAACCATTTGTTACACGTAAAAAACTTTACTTAACTTACTTTTTATTATTTTACGCGAATGAAACAGTTATATGTAAAAAACTATTTTTACGCGTATAAAACTATTTTTACTGGTAGAAAACTATTTTTACGCGTATAAAACTATTTGTTAAACGTAAAAAGCTATTTTTTTACGCATCAAAAACTTATTGTTTCTGGTAAAAAACCTTTTTTACGCAAAAAAAAATTACGTGTAAAACACTATTTGTTACACGTAAAAAACTATTTTTTTACGCGTCAAAAACTTATTGTTTCTGGTACAAAAAAAAATTTTACGCAAAAAAATTATTTTTTACGTATAAAAAACTATTTGTTACACGTAAAAAACCATTTTTTAACGCGTCAAAAACTTATTGCTTTTGGTAAAAAACCTTATTTACACAAAAAAAATATGTCTTGCGTGTAAAAAACTATTTGTTACACGTAAAAAACTAATTTCTACGCGTCAAAACCATTGTTTCTGTTAAAAAAACCTTTTTTACGCAGAAAAAAAACACCTTTTACGCATAAAAAACTATTTTTTACACGTAAGAAAATATTCCCTTAATTTATTACTTTTTCAACATTTCATTAATAGAATCTTCCTGAACAGTAGATATTCTCTATAAAAATATTTTTAGATAATATCCTAAACTGAAAAAAAATGCTATTACTACTTAATTTATTTTTATTGTATTATTAAATATTACGTTTGCCTATGACGGGGTCTCATAGAAAACGCTAAAGACGCTACAGAAAACAAATGGATTTGTTTTCATTTGCGTTTTTTGCGAGACACGCCGACCGCTAGACGCTTTTGGTGGGGCCACTCCTATATAATCCTGTCATTTTGTTTTAGACGCAAAAGACGCTTCACGCAAAAAACGCTTTCTGTGTGGCCGCGGGCTTAAGAACCAATTTAGATATTGATTTTTTTTATATTGAAGATCGGATCTTTTACAACATGTTTAAATAAGAAAAATTCGATAGGCTTGTTTTTCCCATTCAAAAATTTTAAGCAACCCATCCATTTACTTTTAGTGCATAACAATTTTCAGCAATAGTGTAACTTTTTTATTTCTAAAAATTTTCACGTACCGTCTGCGAAGAAAATATAGCAGAATTATTAAGAAGTTTTTTGAAAAAAACTACAATCAATTATTTCTAATGGATTTCGAGATATCGATTTTTAATTTCGGAGTTCTAATAGCGAGACCACTGTCAAACACCAACTCAATTCCACTTATTTTTACCAAAAAATCATGTGTTTTTAACTTGCATTTAAAAATTTTCAAGCTATAGGGAAAATTACAACGACTCATTAATAAATAAACAAATAAAGTATCACGAGATGTAATTGAACCATGAAGGTGAACGCATGATGTACAACATTCCCTGGAATTTTAAGTACTGACAGAAGTGACAGAGGTACTGATTATGTCGACCGCCAGAAATCTGCTATATACCCTTCCACGTATCTTAGCAATGTGCGCAGTTTCTTGGTTTATTTCATACATTTGGCAACGTGTTTACTGTTCTCTCTTGTACATTATAAATGTATTGTAGTCTTCTTACATACGGAAATCTCGACCCAAGACTAACCTTTGCCAGCCCTTAGTACATGCAGAGTGAAAGTAAAAAGTAAAACTAATTTGAATAATATTTTATTGTACAACCAAACTAAACCTAATTGTAATGAGTATGTTGAATGATGTTTTAATACGTAATTAATACTGATTAATGCTCCATCCTTTTGATGCTTTGGAAGAGTACCCTTTAAAACAAACCTAATATCTGAGACACATTCATGTTCTCATTTTTTATTATAGTTTACTGTAGATTCACTGGACACTGACAATATAATAAAATTTGCCAGGCTTTTAAAATGAAAATATTCTCCATCGAAGCGATTGGAACTTCGAAAGCCGTATCGGAAAGAGCCTTTAATCGTTTATTAGCCTTTGATGGGAAAAGTTATTGAATTACTAGTGGAGCGCTCGCAAATTATCAACTAGTTACGTAAATCGTGTTTATCCAGATTAGAAGGTTTTCGGCCTCGTAATCGATTTTCGCTATATCATGAGAAAATGTACCTATCACTACCAGACTGAGACTATAGTTTATTGGATGTAATTCGAGATTTGTAGAGAAATATGTTTGAATTCAAAACACTCTGTTAAATGTTATAACTTTTGGTGGAATTAGTAGAATTTTTTTTATCGGATATAGTAATTTTAGTTAGATAATTATTGAGTATTCTTTAGCCGGGTCTCCACCAAAGTAACATATAGACCGAGAGCTGGCTCCATAAAAAATCTTATAATCGTTACATGGCTAATTTTTTGTGTGAAGTATCCTTTTGTGTATCCATTGTGAAATAGTCATGTCTGGCAGCGCGATCCCGGTGCTTAAAGCGGGGGCGGCCAATCGAAAGGGTGCAACGCATGATGTACAACCTAAAACATACACATTTGACCCTAAAAATATTATAAGGTACACGAGTTATAATTGCCAAATAGCTTTTATTTACTATTAGGAAACGTGTAAAATTGTTGACAGACATTTTTTTCGTGGCTGAAATGCCGGCAGACAACGCGAAAGAGGTATAGAATTTTGACAAAAGAAAATCATCGCATACATGCATGTCGGTTAGTGGAATGTCATGTTTATTGTTAATTAATTTAAAAAGCCGTATGCAAAAGGGCAGACAAAAAATCGTTATTGAAATAATAAAAAATTATATATATATAATACAATCATATATTATATGATTTATCTATACTTAAATGGATGAGGCGGCCAGCGTTCCCTGAATAAAGCGCTAGAGTAATATCGCCCTTTTGATAAGCTGATTGAGCCACGATCTTTTGTCTGCCTTTTTGCATACGGCTTGACATACTGATTAATCACGATCATAAGTGACTGACATGCTGATTAATCACGATCCTGCCGAAACCACTCAACGTAAGAAGCTCAATTTTGGCATACAGGTTGATTCTAGGGTCTACAGGTTCGATAAGAAGGTATTTTTCGAAATTCCAGTTCCAAGAGGGTGAAACCACCCCTCAAATATTATAATATTTTTTATTTAAAAAACGGTCGTTTCCGGAAAAAAGCTTAAACACGTATATTTTATTTTGTTTTTTTACACATTTTAAGGTTTTTTAAAAATGTATACAGGCTATTTCGAAAAATCTGGTCACTGATTAATCACGATCCTGCTTAAAGCGCTTGACGTAAAAAGCTGATTTTTGGAAATCAGATTGACTTTAGGGTGTAGAGGTTCGATAAAAAAGATTTTTCGAAACTCGAATTCTAAGGGGGTGAAACTATCCCTCAAATATTAAAATATTTTTTATTTAAAAACCGGTGAGTTTTTCGGAAAAACTCTTAAACACGTATATTTTATTTTGTTGTTTTACATATTTTAAGATTTTTTATAAATTTATACAGGGTGTTTCATAAAATATGACCATTGAGTAATCACGATTCGAAGTTATATAATAATATCGCCATATTGTTTTTTCTCATGCTGACATAAATGTGAGAAAATTAATGGAAATTCTTGCTTTGCTTTATCATCACCATTACAAATGACTAATTCGACGCGTTGACTGCCGGCATTTTAGCGACTAGAAAAATGTCTGCCAACAATTTTATACGTTTCTTAATAATAAATAAAAGCTATTTTCGCAATTATAACTCATGTATCTTATGATATTTTTAGTGTCAAAATTTCACCCTTTCGATTGGCCGCCCCCGCTCTAAGCCCCGGGATCGCGCTGGTAGACATAACTATTTCACAATGGCTACACAAAAGGATACTTCACACAAAAAATTAGCCATGTAACTATGATAAGGTTTTTTATGTAGCCAGCTCTCGGTCTATTAGTTCCTTGGGAAATTCGTCCACTATGTTCATGATATTTCTTTTGATGGTTCGCTGAAAAACTGTTTATTTGCTGAATCGCATCAACGAACCGCATCAACGAGTGGTGAGCATGGGACTTAAGTGTGTACATTACTGTGTTTCTATTTTATTAATTTGTTTTTTTTTATTTCCAGGTGCCGATGCTGATATTGCTTCCTCATAAATAATACGGTAAGTAAAATATAAAATATAGCACACTATATTTTTATAATTTTTAGTTTTTGTTTTGTATAAGTATAACCTTACTAGCGTGTACCAGCGACTTCGTTCGCGTCGAATTAATCATTTTTAATGGTGATGATAAAGCAAATCAAGAATTTCCATTAATTTTCTCACATTTATGTCAGCATGAGAAAAAACAATATGGCGATATTATTATATATCTTGGTAATATTTGAGGCGTAGTTTCATCTCGTTGGAATTTGAGTTTCGAAAAATCCGTTTGCCAAAAATTAGCTTTTTACGTCAAGCAGTTTAAGCAGAATCGTGGTTTAGAAATTATCCAACTTTTTGGAACACCCTGTATGATTTTTTAAAAAATTTTAAAATATGTAAAAAAAACAAATAAATTATGCTTGTCCAAGCGTTTTCCCGAAAGACTGGCCGTTTTTTAAATAACAAATATTGTAATATTTGAGGGGCGTTTTCACCCTCTTGGAATTTGAGATTCGAGAAACCCCTCCTTATCGAACCTCTACACCCCACAGTCAATCCATTTGCCAAAAATCAGCTTTACACGTCAAGCAGTTTAAGCAGAATCGTGATTACTCAATGGTCATATTTTATGAAACACCCTGTATAAATTTATAAAAAATCTTAAAATATGTAAAACGACAAAATAAAATATACGTGTTTAAGAGTTTTTCCGAAAAACTCACCGGTTTTTAAATAAAAAATATTTTAATATTTGAGGGATAGTTTCACCCCCTTAGAATTCGAGTTTCAAAAAATCCCTCTTATCGAACCTCTACACCCTAAAATCAATCTGTTTTCCAAAAATCAGCTTTTTACGTCAAGCGCTTTAAGCAGGATCGTGATTAATCAATGACCAGATTTTTCGAAACACCCTGTATACAATTTTTAAAAATCTTAAAATATGTAAAAAATAAAATAAAATATACGTGTTTAAGCGTTTTCTCGCAAACTTGGCCGTTTTTTGAATAAAAAATATTGTAATATTTGAGGGGTGGTTTCACCCTCTTGGAACTGGAATTTCGAAAAATCCCTTCTTATCGAACTTCTACACCCTAGAATCATCAATATATTAGTATAGATAATCTAAAAAAATGATATTGTTAGTTTTACCTACAGTACACCAAAAATGAAATTTTCTTGTAGAACGAGAAATCTTTAGATGCCTCAAATGTTATTTAAATTTATTCATCACCTTTTGAAAATTTTGAAAATTTCTATTTTTCTCTGGGCTATATCTCAATTTCTAGATTTCTGAAACAGTATCGAGATATGATTTGTTTTATCAAAGATCTTTTATATTGCTAACTTAAAATTATTGACTTCTTCAATACACTAACTAATAATCTGGGAGACCTAGATTTATTTAATACACCAAAAAAGTAAAATGAATTTATGAAAACGTCCTGTGAAATTTTTGCATTAGACAGGCAACTACAAAACATTGTCCGTTCTTTAACAACGATAGAAATACAATTTTCAGTTAAGGTTTCTCCAAAGAATGTATCGGATATTATACAAAAATTTAAATTATAAACAATACTGTGTTTCGTCTGAAATGTTTGATTAATAGTAGACGGAGAAGTGTTTAGTGGGTTCTGCGCCAGCTTCCTCAGAGGAACAATTCGTAAGTCACGTAAATTCACTAGGAACATGCAAAATAGGCTAATTAAACATGTTTAAATAAGAAACAACCACTTTAAACAAGAAAAAAATTGCTGGGTGCTGGTCTCACTAGAATAAGAAAAACATGAAAATATAAGAAATTTTCGAAGGAGTCCTAGAAATCAAAAGGAATTTCTATAGTAATATTATTTCGATTTCATTCTTTGATGGATGGTTGCAATTAAATTTGATTAACATCATGTTCTTTGTTGTTGTTAAAGTATCACATTTTCCGAATTAATTTCTATCAATAACAATCTATCAAAAAATGAAAACGAAATTATAATACCATAGAAACTCGTTTTGATTTTTTAAAAAAATCAACTATATTTTTATGTTTTTACTAGCGTGTACCAGCGACTTCGTTCGCGTGGAATTAATCATTTGTAATGGTGATGATAAAGCACAGCAAGAATTTCCATTAACATACAAACTGGATAACATTTTCTCACATTTATGTCAGCATGAGAAAAAACAATATGGCGATATTATTATATAACTTGGTAATATTTGAGGCGTAGTTTCATCTCGTTCGAATTTGACTTTCGAAAAATCCGTTTGCCAAAAATAAGCTTTTTACGCCAAGCAGTTTAAGTAGAATCGTGGTTAAGAAATTACCCAACTTTTTGGAACACCCTGTATGATTTTTTTAGAAAATTTCAAAATATGTAAAAAAAAAACAAATAAATTATGCTTGTCCAAGCGTTTTCCCAAAAGACTAACCCTTTTTTAAATAACAAATATTGTAATATTTGAGGGGCGTTTTCACCCTCTTGGAATTTGAGATTCGAGAAACCCCTCCTTATCGAACCTTTAAACCCCACAGTCAACCCGTTTGCCAAACATCAGCTTTAAACGTCAAGCAGTTTAAGCAGAATCGTGATTACTCAATTGTCATATTTATGAAACACCCTGTATAAATTTATAAAAAATCTTAAAATATGTAAAACAACAAAATAAAATATACGTGTTTAAGAGTTTTTCCGAAAACCTCACCGGTTTTTAAATAAAAAATATTTTAATATTTGAGGGATAGTTTCACCTCCTTAGAATTCGAGTTTCGAGAAATCCGTTCTTGTCGTATTTACACTCTAAAGTCAATCTGTTTTCCAAAAATCAGCTTTTTACGTCAAGCGCTTTAAGCAGGATCGTGATTAATCAATGACCAGATTTTTTGAAACACCCTGTATACATTTTTAAAAAATCTTAAAATATGTAAAAAAAGAAAATAAAGTATACGTATTTAAGCGTTTTTTTTCGGAAACTTGACCGTTTTTTAAATAAAAAATATTGAAATATTTGAGGGGTGGTTTCACACTCTTGGAACTAGAATTTCGAAAAATCCCTTCTTATCGAACCTCTATACCCTAGAATCAACCTCTATGCCAAAATTGAGCTTCTTACGTTGAGTGGTTTGAGCAGGATCGTGATTAATCAGTATGTCAGTCACTTAAGGATTGTATATATTAGTATAGATTAATTTTCTCAAAAACGGTAGGGATATTTGGAAAAATATAAACGGGATTACTCATTTTAGAACAAGAATTTTTTTATGAAGAATGCATTTTTCTCAATGTGTCAATAATAAAAAAGTTTTTCCTCCTGTAAAGAAAATACGGGGACACACAACCAAACACTAATTAACGCTAGAATTAAGTTGCAATAATATGTCTATTATTTCTATCTAGAAGTTCTATAATTAACTGGATGGATTAATAAAGGAAATTTCCTTTAGATAGAACGAACTAGCTTATAACATAAGAACCTGAGAGTAAATTCAATAGATCTCCTTTATCTTGTATAATAATTACGAAAATCTGAAACTCCCTGACTTTTCTTTCCTCTGCCGGCAGCTATATCAAGTTTGTATCAATTTCCTGGTTATGTTGACTATAGGGAGTTATACATTTTTATAAAGGCATCATTATATCGAACAAAAGAAAACCAGAAGAAATAATTTCAATATCAACACAAAGGGTATTTTCTCGGGACAAATAACGGGGGGCAAGCCCCTTATCTGAAAATCTGGCGATTATGATTTTTATTTTCCGGTTTGCAAAAACAGGGCAAACCTGAGCGGATGACTTTTATCTTTCCTTTGTAAAAAAGGGAAGATTAATATAGCTTTGAAAGGAAAGATTCGGAGTATTTTTATGTGGCATAAGATTTTCTTTGTTCGTAATTTTCTGTATTATTAAGAAAATAAATGTCGTATAAAATTGTGTAAAATTAAAGTCAATTTGTTTTAATTGTTATTGAAAGTTTGAATTATTTTTTGGGTGGGTTTTCAATACAGGGTTGTTCAGCACATACGACACGGAGTATTGTAGCTAAACGATTAGATTTTTAGAAATTGTAAGTTCTGGGTTCGTTGAAGGACTATTAGAGCTACAATTCAAAAATATTTTTACGAGATACAGAGTGTCCCATAAGCAAAAAATATCAAAGTTGTATTTTTTTAAATGGAACACCCTGTATATTATTACATTTTTAGTTTCTTCGATTCAAATAAAGGTATATTTGATTAAGGTTTATTACACTTAAACCTTACCGTTTTTAGAATATTGTCAACTTTGTGAAATTACAGTAAAAATTTTAAGGCTTCATTTCTCCAAGGGTATCAAAGTTTTTAATACTAAATATTTACTTTTTATTTATAAGTTTATTTATTGATCAGTTATTGTGTTGCAATAATAAAAATTATACTACCTTATACAGAGTGTCTAAAAATTTATTTTAAATAATTACTAGCTTTAAACGGCAATAACTTGTTTAATTTAAATAGAACTCTCTGCATACATGAGAGACATGAGAATCAGATGCACAATTTAATTGTCTATCAAATTGTATTATACCATTTTTTACCTATCTCTTCAAGTTTCCGTGGAAAATGCATTTTCTTGTAATTTAGAACTTATTTATTAATATAGCCATGGAATACCGACATTTTAGATTATTTTTAAAGATGTACCAATATTTTAAAGAGTACAGATACTAATATTGTCGATATAGTTTGTTTATTTCATTGAAAAGTAAAAAAAACTGTTTAAATATTTGTTAAAGGACCAATTAATATGATTCCAGTATTCAAACTACATTAATTGAGAGTTTGCGTTGGTTAATAATAATTGCTCCAAATACTAAAAAACTGAATTTTGTATGTGTATTAGACAGTGTGGTAAAAAAACTAACACCTTAAAAATGATATTTAATTTTTTGACAAATGCTTATTTATAACAACAGAGACGTTCATTTTCATAACTTATTATTCATTTGATTTCTGATTCAAATCCACATTTATTTAGAATAACTTA